AAATAAGACCGACACATCAAATTCACCAGGGAGGATATGTGGAAGCCGCTGGTGGTGGAGCAGGTGTGGGCTGAACGGACTCCTCAGACCCTCCAGGATCGTGACACCCTAGCACAGGGGGCCGTAACATCCTTGAAAACAGCCTTTTTATATAATTCTGAAATGTACATTATTTTTCAGTTTTGGATAACCTTACCTTTTTTTTAGCCTCTGTCAGTTCACCACTTACCTTTGTACCATTTCAACTATTCATTGGACTTGAACGACTGGAATTGTAATAAATAACTGGAATAATGGAATTGTAATAAAACCGGTAGAATTTTATGCATCCTTATTTTGTCAACTTGCTGATGTGGACTGTACCAATACAATTCTCAGGGGTGATTTCAACTGTTTATTATGCCCTATATTGGATAGGTATCCATCACAGGTAGCTCAGTCCAAACATGTTAATGCGCTTTTAAATACAACAAAGGAGTCTTTTGGCTGTATGGAGGCAACATAATCCCCTTGAACAGCAGCACACATTACATTGTCCGCCACATCTGTCAGTGTTCCAGACTGATTATATATTTGTATATATCTGACAAATAAACCCAACTGCCTATTAGCACAGCTATCAAGGAATGCTCTGGTAAAATCCTTTATTCCAGCCATAGTGGATGATACTCATCCACTATGATTGATATCTATGGAAAAGTTAATTTATTTAAGAAATAAAAAACCTTTTCCACAGATACCAGAGAATCAAGTTACTATTTTAGAATCTCCCATATAAGTAGACCAGGTTGTTTCAGCACTTCAATCAGGGAAATCTTTACTTCCTCAACTTGCTTCCAAGTTGCTTCCAAAGCACAATGTAATGACTTGCAAGTCATGGAAGAATTAAAACTGCTGGTGCAAACATTACACTAATAGCCATGAAAATAAGAACACTGCTCTTCCTTTTAGTCAATGAACCTTTTAGTCTAGTGACTCTACAACTGCCAAAGGTTAAGAGTGGGTGGGGCCTACCAAATTTAGACATGTTGGTTATTCAGGCCTGAACTCTCTCCTCCTGGGTGAGAGGTGGATGCAGTGCTGTGAAAACCCTTTCCCTCAATAAATTTCATAGGGAAACACCACCTCCTGTTAAAGGCAGTTTCCTGAATAAAAATGTGTTATGAGCATGGGGCAAACTAAGGACAATGTCTGAAAGTAGCTCAGTTAATATTCTTGTAACATTAGATGACCCAGAACTGTCATTGCAAAGTGTAGGATCAAACTTTACAAGTTGGCAAAGAGCAGGCATAAAAAGAATATATAATCTTTTTGATAACGGAAGCTTTAAAACACCCTGAAGTCTCAACATCACCTTTCAAGTAATGATTTCTATAAATACCTACAAATAAGACATTATGTTCTTCTGAAAGCTGGCTCATGAGAACATTTCCACCAGAAACAGTCTGCTGGAAAGGTTTTTCTCTGAACCACAGAAAGCACAAACACTTTGTGACAAAGTTTTATTCTGACATATGTAGGATATATATGGATAAACTTGAATGATGTTTGGGACAAAATGTTGCTGCCGCCCTTCAGAATCTCAATATGCAATAGATATAAAGAGTTACAATATAACATACGGCATAATCTTTATATGTCACCATATATTTACAGTAAGGATAAAACCAAACTGTCCTAAATGTTAGACTACAGTTGGAAGAAGGCTCCATTGTTTGTGGGAATCATTCTGACTTTCTGAAGAACAGTTTGTGCAAACATCAGTAAAACAATCACTCTCATTGCCTGTTTATGCCCTGTCCTTATCTTCAATGTCCTGCTGCTCTGTTGCATCTTAATTGCCCCTTGGGTATAAATAAAGTCTTTCTGATTCTGATAATGAGTAAACAGTGCCAGCAGATCCACTACTTTGTTTGCTTTGAAATGTTCCTGACTCTTTAATACAACACAAAGAAGTCATTCACACAAATGCTGGCAAGAAAAGTATTTTGATTAAGTGGGTCAGACATGAACCTCAGTCTATCTCCAACAATCATAAAGGTTTTTATGTCAATAAAATAAGGATATTATGTTGATATTTTCTGCCGAAATGGATGAAACCAGTGAAGTTCTGAGACTGAACTGTAACTTGGACTCACAAATATTTTGTAATGGGCGAATAAAAGGTTGGATCCATGTGGGAAGGAGCTTTCTTCACTTCATTTTGGCCTGAAAACTGAAGGCTCTGCCTCCCATTCTACTTTTAAATACTCTAGGAACAACAAGTAGGCCTGCAGAGCGAGAGCGAAGTGCTCTAATAGGGTGATATGGTACTACAAGGTCATTAAGATAAGATGGGGCCTGATTATTAAGACCTTGTATGTGAGGAGCAGGATTTTGAATTCACTTCTGGATTATATCAAATCTAACTTGATATCTGAGACTCGTGTATTAGTCAATTTTTTTTTCAACTAAGAGATTAGTCATGAGCACTAAATCTAAAAAATTTACTTTAAGCTCTGACC